TGTAAAATCTGGGTTCAAGCATGAGCTGTGCTAGTCACAATGTGACTTGCCAAGGCCTAAAGGCTTTGGTTTCACTCGACAGAAGATGGAGACATTGACAAATGGTTCCTAAGGTCCCTTCTGGGCCAAAAGACTGAAGTTCTAGGTTGTATGCCTTGCCACCAAGAACCACCAGGTTAAGAAGAGGGAGCCCTAAGTCTCAGGATCTCATCAGAAAGGTTTGTTCACATACACAAATAACGAACCTGAGGCCAAATAAGCCAACAGCCACAGAGGGCAAAATAAGCTCAGCTTTACAGAGAGGAGGGAGGCTTACAGAGAGGAGGGAAAACACGCTGGGAGTTCAGGACATGCTGCAGGAAGGGCTGTCATCAGAGATGGCCATAAGTTGAAACGGGGTGAGAAAGGGAGTTCTGGAGATGGGGCAGGGGGGAGCCGGCACAAGCAAAGGCCAAGAGATAAATGCAGGCGTCACCAGAACCCAGCCTGCAAGGAGCCCAGCTCAGAAGCCAGATCAATTAGAAGGGGCTGGGAGCTGCCACAGCTCTCGGACCCTCAGAATCAGGCAGGCGAGGCCCCTGCACCTGCTCTTGTGGGGAAGAAAAGCCTGTAGGGTTCCCAGAGCTGCGTGCTGGGAAGGCTCTAATGCCTGCAGGGTCTCAGTATCAGCAGGTATACGGCCTGGGAAGGACACCTGGATCCCGTCGGGAGCATCCTTCCTGCTGCCCAGGGCCAAGGCTCCGGCGGACAGGAAAGCCTGGCAGCCAAGTGAGCAGAGGGTCCCAGCAAGGTCTTTCATGGGGAAGCCACATCGCTGGCTTTTTGGGAACCCAAGTGGTTGGAGGGCAGTTGCCTAGGGATGAGGACATGTTACCAGGGCAACAGGTACTTGGCTGTAACGGTAGAAATGACAGATATCTTCTCCCTTCTGACTAGAGAAGACGTGTGGGTCAGACACACCTGCCTCCCCTTTAGACTCAGAATCACTGGACATTAGAACCAGAAGAGCTCTTGAGAGAACAGGTCTAGGAACCCCACTTTACAGATGAGAAAACTGAGGCCGAAGAAGGAAAGGTGGTTTATCTAAAGTCCACCAAAGAGCCAGGGCAGAACCAAGAACAAGGTCCAAGTCTGACTCCTAGTCCAGGGCCACAGACAATCTGAAGCCAAAAATACCACATGCATTAGAACTGGAGAAAGGAGAAAAGAGATGAATTTCTGGGAAGAGAAGGGCTGACCAGTGTCAGATGCTGAGGACAGCAAGGAAAACTCTAAATTCAGCACTCAGGAAGTAACCGGGAATAGACCTTTGATGCAGGTGTCGTGAGTAAACGCTGGAGAAACAGGCAAACTCCCTTAAGACAAGGTTGTAAAAAGGGTGGGCAGAGAGAAGGAGCAACTTTGAGATGCAGGGAAGAAAACTCGAGGCGTTTTAGCTAAATGACCTCGGTCTTCTTACTAGGCGGTGAGGCAACCAGGAGAGCAGTCTCTGTGGGGACTGGGCTGCAGGCCTGTGGTCCAGATTCAGAAGGGGAACCGTGGGGAACTTCAGAGTCCACTGGGGGCTGACGAGTCTCCAAGAGCAGCTCAGAGGCTTAGATTTCGCTGAACCTGTCATCTGTGCCGATGCCAAAAGGCACAGCCTGTGGCTCTCCAGCAATGCCTGGCAGCCTGGGAGAAGGAGCAGAGGAAACAGATGGGCCTGCGTGTGTGTCGAAGGGAGGCCAGGGGACAGTCACGGGGGCAGGAGAATCAAAGGGCAAGCAGGAACAGCTGAGACAGCTGAGGCTTTGCCAGGCTGGGAGCAAGGCAAGGGCAGGAGGAGGCTGGGAGAGGGGAGCTGAAGGCAGGAGGGGGTCGTTAAGAGCCAAGGCCAGATGTAGAGGAACTGGAAGGATAGGATCAAGGGAAGTTATCACGGGATGGGAAATGCCTTACTCTGTCTGATCCCCACCTCCTTTATTCTGTCTAGCCCCTCTGCTTATTTTTCTTAACCCTTATTACCACCTGGCATATTACACAGGTGTTCACTGTATTATCCACAGTGCTTAGAACAGGGCCCAATGCATAAGAAGCACTCAATAAATATTTTTAGATTATTGAATAAATTCTCTTTGAATAGGTTTTGAGTTTCAAAGAGATTTTGTTGGGGAGACTCTGAAGTCTTTCTTGCTCGTTAAGGAAAAAAAAATCTGGAGGTCTCATGTGCTCTGATTTCAAACTATACTACAAAGCTACAGTAATCAAAACAGTATGGTACTGGCACAAAAACAGACACACAGATCAATGTAACAGAACAGACAGCCCAGAAGTGAACCCATTTATACAATCAATTAATCTACAACAAAGGAGGCAAGAATATACAACGGGGCAAAGACAGCCTCTTCAATAAATAGTGTTGGGAGAACTGGACAGCTACATACAAACGAATCAAACCGGACTATGATCTCACACTATGCATAAAAATAAATTCAAAATGGATTAAAGACTTCAATGTAAGACCTGAAACCATAAAACTTCTAGAAGGAAACAGGCAGTATGCTCTTTGACATTGGTTTTAGTAGTATTTTTTTAGATAAGTCTCCTCAGGCACAGGAAACAAAAGTAAAAATAAACAAATGGGGCTACATAAAACTAGGAAGGTTTTGCACAGTGAAACTATCCGCAAAATCAAAAGGCAGCCTCCTGCATGAGAGAAGATATTTGCAAGCGATAATCCAACAAGGGGTTAATATCCAAACTATACAAAGAACTCATTCAACTCAACATCAAAAACACAAACAACCCGATTAAAACAATGGGCAGAGGATCTGAACAGACATTTTTCCAAAGAAGACATACAGATGGCCAACAGACAGATCAAAAGATACTCAACATCACTAATCAATGGGAAAATGCAAATCAAAACAATGAGCTATCACCTCACACCTGTCACAAAGACCATTATCAAAGACAAAAAATAACATGTCTTGGCAAGAGTGTGGAGAAAAGGGACCCCTCATGCACTGTTGACAGGAATGTAAATTGGTGCAGCCACTATGGAAAACAGTAGGGCGATTCCTCAACAAATTAAGAATAGAACGACCATGTGACCCAGGACTTTCACTCCTGGATATTCATCCAAAGATAACAAAGACATTAATTAGAAAAGTTAAATGCACCCCTATATTCCCTGCACCATTATTTACAAGAGCCAAGATATGGAAGTGACCTAAGTGCCCAGAAGTAGATGAGTGGATAAAAATGCACTGTATATACATACATACACAGACATACACAGTGGAATATTTCTCAGCCATAAAACAAAGAATGAAATCTTGCCATCTGTGACAACATGGATGGACCTAGAGGGTACTGTGCTAAGTGAAATAAGAGAGTGAAAGACAAACACTGTATGATTTCACTTACACCTGGAAACTAAAAAGCAAAACAAATGTACAAACGTAAAAACAAAACAGAAACAGAGTTACAGATACAGAGAACAAACAGGTGGTTGCCAGCAGGGAGGGAGGGAGGAAGAAATAGGGGAGGGAGATTAAGAGGCACAAGCATTCAGCAGTTGCAAAATAAATGAGTCATGGGTATGAAATGTGCCGTATGGAGAATATAGTCAATAACTATGTAATATCTTTGGAAACAGATCATAAATAGACTTATCTTCATGATCATTTAGGAACGTTCATTTAGAAATATCTAATTACTATGTTGTGTAGCAGGAACTAACATAATATCGTAGGTCAATTATAAAATAAACGAGTAGTTCTGAGCTGTGTTGAGTTCATTCACTCGAGTGTCTCCACTGTGAACAGTTCTTCACTTGAGTGCCTCCACCGTGAACAGTTCTGTCTCCGGCAAAGCGAGGGAAGTCTTTGCTGACCTAAAACCACCTCCTGGAGCCTGCAAGATGGTTCTCGAGCAATGCCAAGACCTGCCCTGACTGCCCAGCCCCCGAGCCCACTAAGCCTGGCTGGGACTCAGCTGTGGTCACAGCACCCGCTCGCTACACCCAGTCCACGAGAAGATGGTGGTGCAGCTGGCTAAAAAAAAATAAAAGCAGCACCCTTCAAAGAATTTCTGTGATAGTATTTCTTCTTTCTACTGACTCTAGAGATGTGCCCACCCTGCATTCCTATGCTTGGAAAGGTCCCCCTCATGCAAACCCCGGCACGACAGGAACACGTCTCTCTCTTCCTCTCCCAGTTACTGGCCCCGTCCAGGGTGGGCGCCATGGTG